CATGATGAATGAATGATAATGATCTATGAATGAGTGAAATACATGAAATGAATGAAAATTAGATAAACAAGTAAACAAATAAACAAATGCAAATCTATTGATGTTAACATGATTTATGCAAAAAAAGAGTATCAAACAAGAATATAGTTAGCATACAATATAAATAATGAAAAAGACAAAACTAGTTAGTACATGACTTATGTAAAACCACAGGTTCGTGACCTAAATTTGGGTTTTTTTGCAAAAAGGAAGGGCATGGCTCTATTTTAAAGTCGGATCCCTAAAGTTCACTATATGCCATGTTTAATGTTTGATATAGGCTAAAAGGTTCCCAAATTATTTTTTATTATCATCCATGTTGAACTAGTAAGGCACTTCGATCTTCACACGTAATAGGCTTCAAACGAAAATGATTCAATTTGAGTGAGAATATTTTGCTAGCCATTGCAAAGTTTAACACTTCACGAGAATATAGGTATTTTACCCCCTCTTAAAAAAGACAAAGCCCGAGTCTAGAACTCATGTTATGATATGCATGTGAAGTGTGTGAAGGAACAAATTTTTAAACACATTTCAAATAAATAAAAAAAATTGATCAGGCAAATAAATCAATAAAATTAAAAAATTTGACTTATTAACCAAGCCTTTAGGATTATATATATATATATATATATATATTTGTTCAACTCTTTTAGGTCCCTAGTGGAGTCACCAAGCTATCATAACGTATCGGTCTGGGAACTCGATCACTAAATGTGAAAAGTCAAGGAGTTGCCACAAATCTTACTTTTGGTCTACAAATTTGAAGTTGGGTTCAAAAGTATAATTACGTGTGGAGAAGGTTATAACATTTTCACAATGCCCGTCCAAAGATGGTATCAATTAATCTTATATGATTCAAAATTGATCTCATTTAACTAGTTTTTTACTTATTATTTTATTATTTAATATATTTTTATTATTGAAAATTTTGTAAGTTATTCTCGACACTTTCGGTATAACTTAAGAAATCTCTTTACCTTGAGAGTATTCAAAGAAATTACTTATTTCATTGTAGGAGTTCCGTCGTCGGATTTATTTTAATATTTTATTTAAAACAAAGTAGATAATAGTTTCTTATACAAACACTTATGATAAAAAATTGAAGGAAAATCACCACTTGTAACTTCCTTTTGATTTGATCATTGACAAAAAATTTTAATTTATTTTGTAATATTAATTTATTGTTTGTTTTATTATTGAAGGAAAAAAAATTATTAGTTAAATTCTCATAATATTCCAAAAGTAATATTTCCAACACTTTTGGAATATTATGAGAAAATTGCTTGCTTAAGAAATTTTGATAAAGTCACCACTCTTGACTTCTATGCTTTTAAAATTTTATTTACCTTTACAATCTAAGTATTTTTTATATTTTATTAATTTTTATTAAAAAGATTTTCAAAAGTCTTACCAACACTTTTGGCAAATTTTTGAAAAATACTTTTTTAAGAATCATTACTTGTGATTTTATTACTATTGTTATTATTATTTTTTTATATGCATTTATTTAATTTTTTTCTATTTGTTTGTAGTGAATATGGTTATTATTATTTTATGAAAAATTCTAAAAATATTTTCAACACTTTTAGAATATTTTAGCAATTTTTTTATAAGAAAAATCACCACTTGTGATTTTATTTTTTATTAATAATTTTTTTTGTCTTTTTTATATTTTTCTTTATTCTTACTCATTAAAATTATTATTATTATTATTTCATTTTATTTTTTAAATTATTTAAGAGAAAATTAAAAAATTTAAAATTTCATAAGTTTATTTTTTAGTAATTATTTCAAATTAATTTCAATAAAAATATTTTATACTTTTTACCGTTTATTTTATTTTTCTATCAAAAGTTTATGCAAAAATAAAATAAAAATAATAGAAAAATCATAAATTAAATAATAAAAATATATTAAAAAATTGAGCAAAAAAATAAAATATAAAAAGTTATAACAAAAATACCTAAAATGTCTCTGCTCAACGTTGGTCAAAAGGGCGATCAAATGGTTTGGTCAACTAATAGAACGGTTCACTAGCAATTTAGCAAGTCTAATACCAATTTAAGTGAATCGGTCAAAATTAGCAATAAGCCAAGTTGAGTGCGGGGATCCTTAGTTGGATCTTGGTTCAAGTACAGATCCTCTGAATTTTAAACGACGTCATTTAACAAAAAAATATTTTTGGCAATAGCTATAAAAGCCCATTTTTTTATTTCATTTTCTTTCTTCTTCTTCTCTTTCAAACTCCCTATCTTTCTAGCCCAATCGGCCACTTTTGTTTCTAAAATCTGACACTAATGCGTTGTGTTGTCTGTTGGTTGCTATTTTCGAAAAAATTCCAAAAAACTTCAAGATCTTCACCTTAAGCCCCTTAACATAGATCTGAGGCTATTTTTTAAAAAAAATTATTTCAAACGACGCAAATTAGACCTGGAAGATTCGGCCAAAATAATTTTTTTTTTTGTTTTTAGTTTTATGTTCTATTTGGCAATGTTGGTTCCCGTTTTAGGGACTGTGATTTTTTTTAATTTGTGTTTGTTTGGTTTGCTTTGGGTTTTTTTTTTTTTAATTTAGTAGAACACTTTTTTTTATTTAGATTTTTTTTTAAATTTTTAGTAAGGTTTTTTTGTGGATCCCCCCTATTGGTTGGTCTTGATTGCTCTATTTATAGAGCCAAACAAAACCAAAAACCCAAAAAATCTGAGATTTTTGTTAAAATTTAACTACCTAAAACTAGGTTGACTATTATGGTGGTTGTTAATGGCTAACAGAAAAGAGACCAAAAAAAAAAAAAATGAATCGAAAAGAAAGATAAAAAATAATAATATTTAGATTAATAGATACCAAACAAAATGTGTATCTACAATTAATTTTATCAATTACTCAATTGACTCTTTGAAATTTTTTTATTCATTCATTTATTTAAAATTAAGAATTGAATAAATGAAATTTTCATTGAAATATAAATATAAAATAGGGAAAAAATGCCATGCTTTTTCAACATTAAATAAAAAAATATTCATTATTACTAGGTGAAACGAGGTGCTGTTAAGTTGACTAAGATTAAAGAAACAAAAGAAGTTAGAAGGCAATCACTAAGATTAATGTTAGAAAGTGTGGCCTACAGGGGTTCATGGCCAAGGGGTAAAGAAGATGAGCCGGTGCTTTTGTGGAAAACTTAATAGAGAAGTTAAAAGTTTTGGAAAGCTCGAGTCTTTAGCCCCCGGTTCCACTTTATTCCTTTTATATTTTAAAAACCCAAATATTGTTTTGTACAAAAATGAATGTCGATGAAAATAAAATATCAAATAAGTGAAAAAAAGGGCATTTTTTTTTTTTTTGTATTGATGAAAAGGATTGACTTCTTTTTACTGCATGAAAATTGATAAAAAATTTCATTTAAAAGTAGATTTAATAATTTATGTATTTATATCATATAAAATATTAATAATTCGTATATTCATATTGTGTTTTATATAAAAATTATATGTTATAATTTGTATCGATACAAAAATATAAAATTTTTATGATTTTATTAAACTTATTTATATTTTTTATTAAAATCTTAAATCATATTATTTTTATGTCTTTTATTCATATTATATAACCATTTCGTAGAAATTGCTGCTTTAAAAATATGCAATGGTAACCAGTTTCTTGTTAGGTCGGGGATGCAGATTCCTTAGAAATTAATATCATCCCCTTCCCACACTGAAAAGGGTACAAGAAAAAAGAGGCAGCTATTAAAGCAAAGATTATTCCTTTCTTTAGCTCCAATTCATACTTGAAACTTGAATTCAATATATAATAATCACATGACATGCATGCATATAAATTGAGCTTTTTTATGTTTCATGTTTATCCTTTTAGGGGCACTGATCCCCGTAAATAAGAGCAAGTATAGTTGGACTTTGTCTGAGTAGCCCAACCCCAACTCACAAAAGTCAAACCCTAGCGCCATAGCTTTGAGGTTTGAGCTGCTATCTTGAGCGCAAAATGGGGTGGTTGGAATGCTGGTTATTTCAGACTTCAAGGGCCAGGCAACCTTCAAATCAAATTGGTTTATTTCAACCATAAATGGACTCACCTGCACTGCACGTCAAACTTTATTATGTTAGACTCCAGCCCATTTGGTCGTTTCTGTTCTTTTTATAGGGAAACACATTAGGTTTAAGGGGTACATAAGTTGCTATGTGTCAGAAATCCGATAAGACAATACGAATAACCTCTATATGATCAAATAGAGGTCAACTTTCATGGCTGTCACCTATTTAGAACTTTCAATATATAAGAAGCTGAAGAAAGATGGCAAAGCATCAGCAGACAGACATAATAAGATCTTGGAAACGCCTAAATGGGAAGATGAGTCTAATACATGGTCTAACTTCTGAACATGACAGCTGATCACCAACAGCAAGAAAACTGGCAATTATGTTGACCATTGATTCTGCTATACATGTCCATATCAAACAATAATGCACCTACCTGGACTGGTTCTGATCCATCATCCATGCTCAACCATCCTTGACCATTCCATTCTGATGCAGAGCATTACATAAGTGCAGACAACTTTACAAGGATGAATCATAGAAGTACAGTTCTTAAAGCCTAGGAAAGTATAGTTCATCTGCATTTGCCACTAAAATACAAGTCATTGATATTGTACAGCCTAAATGAAACAGGGATGCTATTTGTATGCTCCTATATTAATGAAAGTGAAGCCCCGATGATCGACTTCACTCTTCTAACACCTGGTGAATTATACAACTTCAGTGTTTCATATCGTGATGTGATGTAACAATAAAGGAGAGAATTGGCATAACATGCAAATAAGGCCAACTCTACAAGAAAGTATGCAGAAAATTTCAGAGCATGGTCAATCAATTGCTGAAAATTTTACTTCACAGAAGCATGAGATTACAATGCATTGACATCCCCTATCGATCAAGAGGCATCATTGGTTTCCTCAGTCATCACTGTCACTGATCTCAAACACTAAAAATTTAGCCCGAGATAAATTCTTGTAGCATGACAGTTTCCTATCTCTCATTTTGCTAAGAGGAGTTATAAGTCTTTGTTTATCAGAAATTCTAATTTTATTTGAGGCTACAATAATTCGCTTCCCAACTTCACTACAAATGACCTTATCCCTTGGAATTCCAGTAGTTCGGCCTGCTGGTGACAGAAACGATGATTGCTTTGAAGGCGTTCTGACCATAAATGGTGGTGAGGCACCAATTTGTATGCTTGAGTAGTAATTGTCTGCTTTGGTTCTCAGCTGTTGTTCTGGCAGACCCTGACTAGCTTTACCAGTGCTTGGAGAACTGGTAAGTTTGCTCACTCCACTATGGTTCAAAAGGTATCTATTGATAGTACCAGCAGCGGATATTGCTGTCGATGAGATATTACATGGATTCTTGTTAATCAAACATGAATTCCACTCTGTTGCATCTGCAGATTCAGCCTCATATTTATAAGTGAAAAGATTAAGGGATTTAAACTTCGAATTCCATTGTTTTTACTCAGGCATTCCTTCTCAATTTCATGATCCTGATATTTTAAGCTGTTACTCTTTTTCTTCCTTTATATAAGGTAAGTTTCAGAAGGTCTTGAGGCAGAGCTTAAAACCAAGTTTCTTACCACTGCTTATCATGGCCTCTTGTCCAATATTTTGAACAAGAGGATTGGTTCGCTGGTTGCCATCACATTTAAGATCTTCAACTTCAGTAGCAGCAAAGTTTGACAAGCATGACCAATCTGAAGCTTTTAAAGTCCTTGCTTGGATATGGAGGAACCACCCTCGCTCTTGATGGCAGAAAGCATACTTTATAGGCATAGATGAAGTTAGATGATAAAAGTGTGATGTTCGCTTCACCTACTAGGAGACAAAAAGCAGAATATTATATACATACAAGTTATTAGTAGAATTGTGGAGGAAATCTTTAGATAGAAGAACCCATCAACAGACATAAAATTAAGAAATGAAAGGATTAATAAGAGATTTACCATTAATGCATTAACTTTGATCTCTCCCAATTCACGGAAACAACTATAGTGTATTCTCTCAAGTTCTCCTACAGATAAGATCTTGGCAGATATTAGTGGCTTTAACAAATATAGCAGGGCCGGAACATGTAGAAAAGAACTGCAATAACAATGCATTTAATCTAACATTAAATCCTCAAATGACACCTTGTTGAACAATTTGAAGAAGCTATCATAATAACAAATCTTTGGATTGACAATAATAGTCTTAATTTGTTCATTAAAATTTGCAAGTAGTACAATTGTTTACCTACAAAATGATCCGTTAGCAACAATGAAGCAACAGGAAGGCAAAAGGAAAAATCAAATATACCAGGACATTTCCAGGAAAAGAAATGCAATTATCCCAATTCAGACAAACTAGCCTTGTGGTCCCAAATAACCAATATCTGTGTAGCATTACTCTCCCAACTCCAAAGTGTATATGAATGTGAAAAACAAGATCCTGGAAATAATATTTCAAGGCAGAATCTGGGAAAATGATAATTTTCTATACAATGCAATGAAAGGGAGGACTTTTCCTGTAGAAATTTTGGTAAAATGAATATAATCAGCAATGCCTGCAGAGTGATAAAAATGATTGTTTTTTGCAACTGGTAAACTAAAAGGAAAGCAAGAGAATCAGTCAAAGAATCAATTAGTTTCAGCAATTCCCCATATAAGGTAACAGAAAAAGACAGCAACTTGCAACTGGGAAATCTAAAAAAAGAATGGGTCTGTTGTAAGCTTACCCTGGAAATCTGCAACAGTAATATCTGGAGAGACAGCCATGGCTAAGTGAGTGCCTAAGTTTGTGTCTATAAAAACGGCTACTTCAGCATCAGATGCCATTTGATAAGCTGGAGAGTGACAGACAGCCAAGGACTTCATCAAGAACAAAAAGACCGAGGGTGAGTTGAGTTACTGACTTGTGTCACCATGTTTGATGACCCAATGTTCCTTGAGAACTGAACCAAAAACACAGTCTGATGATCTCACCTCCTAATGGACTCTTTGTGGTCAAAAAACAGTTTTTAATAAATGGGCTTTTTGACAGTTCAACACATGTCCATTAAGCTTAGCATGGTAAAAAATTAACTTATGTTTATATGAGATTAGAAACATTTTTCAAGGGACTTTTTTTTTTTTTTGTAGGCCTGTTGGGCAGTTCCACTTCCTAGTTCATTTCCAACTCTGTTGGTTGGGGCGGCATTGAGCCGTTCAGGGCCCAAGTTAAAATTGAAATGTGCTCTGATGAATTATGTTTTTAATCAAAGGCGGAAAAAGAAATGAAAAAACCAAAAATTATTTAAAATCATAATATTTGATTTAATTTAGTTTAATTTTTTTATTCGATTCAGATTAAGTTTTATATTAGATTTCAGATTGAGAAGTAAAATATAAAAAAATAAATAAAATCAAATTGAATTATATATTTGGATTAATTTTTATACTTTTTTATAAAAAATATTTATTTTATATCTAAATTTATTTAAATATATTAAAAATTATATAAAAATAAAAAATTAAATTTTAAAAATCGATAAATTAAACAAAATCGATAAAATTCGATTGGATCAAATCATATGTGAAAGTTTAATTTTAAATTTATAATTATATGTATTACCTTAAAAAATTGAACCAAATCCAATCTAATCTCAGTTGATATATATTTTTTTTTTAACTTTCTTAAATTTCAAGTGTATTTGCCTCTCTATCTTTAATTTAGTTTCAGTTTTTGCAAGGACAAAGATTGTCGGGAAAAGATTCAAATACTACTATTAACTTGTTCAATATATATATATATATATATATATATATCAAACGCTTAAGAGCATAGGATGATCTGACACTAGGCTTTTTAGCTTGCAATGGCTTTCATTTTGATGCTTTCAACTGCTTCAATCTCTTCGCAATCCTTAGTCGGGAGAGTCCAATTACTTCTTGTCGACCAGCATAAGCTTCTTCCATCTCTGAATTGTAATTGAATCGAGGATTCACCACATAATCAAATAAAGTTGGTTCAGGCCTGGTAACAAATTGGCTCGAAAAAGATGGTTGAGAACTTAGCTTAACATTGAAGTCCAAATTAACCTCTCTATCTTCTATGATTGCAAGTTTCTTCACAGAGGGTTTCATCACGGGAATATGAATATCGTTAACGTTTTTCATGTCAGAAAACTTTTTACTTTGGTTAAATATTATTCAACTCCATTTATCAACCAAATCCTTCGCAAGTTCCCTGTTGGAATTTGTTTCGCTCTCATATTTTGATAAAAACATATCACTTTTTCAGGACCACTTTTCTTGAACTGTTTAGAACCCCACGATTCAAGGTTCCGAAGTTTGTTAGTGATAGGTTGGCTCATTCTATAAAGTTATGCATCGACTTCAGCAATGATCTGAAGCTCAGCCATTACTTTCTCAACAAACAACAAACAATGTGATTTCTTTAACACTTTTCTCAATGTTTTTCCTCCTTTTAACAGCATTAAATATATCATTGATTTCTTCTTCAACTAAATGATTGAAAACCATTATATATAATACAGTTATCAAAGACTATATATTTCTTCATATATATATAATATATATATATATATATATTGGTAGATTAAGTTAGGTCTATTAATAAGTGTTTATAAGAAAATCTTAAATCCTATTAGGAACTATAGTAATATTAATTTCGTTAATTAAAGATGTAAATAACATATCAATATTCATAAACTATTTGCATAAAATTTAAATTTGATTAAGTTATTGTAGAGGTTAATTCTAGTTCGAGTAATTTGATTTATTGAACGAATCGAATTCGAATATTTTAGTATTTGATTTGAGTAATTTATAAAATTAATCAAAATTTTAAATTTTAATATATTTTTATTATTTTAATTAAAAAATTATTATTTTATTATATATATAAATTCAAGCTCAAATTAAATATATAATCAAACTTGAAAATCGAATATGATAATAGAATTTATTTTTATATTCAATCAAATTTAAATTAAAAAATTAAAATTTAATTAAATTCAAATCAATTTTTGAATAATAAATTTTAAATTGAGTTCAAATTCAATTTTTTTACTGTATAAATTTAATTCGATCAGACCCGTCTCATTAATTAGATTTCATCAAACCTATGAGCAAGTTTCCTTAACCCAACCGCCGAAGGGGAAGGTAAAAATGGAAAAGATATCAAAACGACATCGTTTTCTTACTGCCTAACCTTTTGCGGCCTATATCTTAAAATCTTATGCCCCATAGGGCCCAATGGCACAAAAACCCAAAACCATATCCACTTCTAAAACCCCACAACCACCACCTCAGAAGCCGCCGCTACTGCCACAGCCATGCTCCGATGAACACCACGAAACGCTGGCCCAAGAGGGCCTTCATCCTCTCACGTGTCCTATCACGTACCTTCTCCACCACCCGAACCCCCTTCCGTTCCCTAACGTTCACTCTAAAGCAGGTGACACGATCCAATTTCGACTCGGCCCCTGTTAAACTTTGTCCGCACGTGTGAGCAGCGGACTTTGTGGCAATCAACACGAAAATGAAGGGCGTCACCAGCGTGCCGTGGCGGGATATTACAAGTTGAATTGAAGAAAAAGGCATGTTAGTCACTTAGTAGTCATTTATATTTTTTTACTGTGAGAGTCAACGTAATAGTTATTTTGTTAAAAAATTGACAGCTGATTCTCTGAGTCAACACGTTAGTTATTTTGTTAAAAAATTAACAATGTAACAATAATCACAAAATATTACAAAAGTAGGTGGTTAAATGAGGAAATATAATTTCCCATTTCCTATATTCTAGAATTTCTTCCTATCTCTATTCTTCCTTCTCTCCTTACCTCTATTTCTAAAATTTTAGCTACTAGAAATTTGAGTTTTCACATAAGAGTTGAGCTGAAAGTGGTTTGATTGAGCAGCATCACGGGAATCGTTCGAGTTTGACGGGTTCGATATTCGGTATCTTAAAGTCAAAGATTCCGCCTAGAAATTTGCTGTTCTTCAGTTCGGTGTTTTCCCTTTCCGTTGGGATTCACTTAAGCAATCGTTTATTGCTCACCCGTTAGTTTTCTGTTCTGCCTTCATTTGAATAAATAGTTTAATATTTGTTTACAAAATAAACCTTATGAAATTTTTGTTTTTCTTATCAAGTTTTTGTTTTACTTATTGTTAATGCCTTTTCAGGGTGAAAATGAGGGTACTTTCTTGTTATTTTAGTGAAAACATGGTTTTTGATTGAATTTAGCTTAATTTGAGCTGTTTTAAGTGTTTGATTGATGATAAATTAAGACAGAAGAAATAAATAGAAAAAAAAATGGTTTTTATCGAATTTAGCTTAATTTGAGCTGTTTTAAATGTTTGATTGATGATAAATTAAGAAAGAAGGTAAAAAAATAAAGGCAATTTGGACCCTTTGTAGAGAAAATATGTATGGAAATGTTAACAAAGAAAAGGGGAAAGGAAAAGAGAAAAAAAAAAAAGGAAAGGAAAAGGAAGGACTTTGGTGTAATTTACTGTAATTTTTATGAGGAAAGGAAGTAGTATTTTGTTCTCATTTAATATGCAAAATTGAGTGTTTGAATGATGTTTCTTATGAATGAATTCGACCGTGTAATATCGTTGACAGGCATAATTACTTTGTATTCCCTCTTCAAGAGATTCCACACGATGAGCCGTCTTATGAATTCCTCTGCTAGATAACATCAATGGATTTTTTGGCTAAATACCAGTTTGATTTCAATGCTTGCATGAATAAAGGTACTTCTATTTATCTTTCATGTCCCAATTCATCATTGTTGCTTTTAATTCTTGAGATGCAGTTTCTGAGATTGTGCTTTCTAAGTTGCCCTTACTTTGAGAATTCATATCTCAGGTGTATCTTACTTATCCAGAGGACAAGAAGATGAGGCCCGAAAACAATTAAAATCACTTTATGGAGATCAGTCAACAAAGCCGTTGTATGATTTACAAGAAACTATGGACTCACCGCTTGTCCGAGTGACAGATGATTCCTTCACTGAAAGAATGAAGAAAAGATTGAGTGAATGGCGTGATGACTTGTTGCAGCGTAGGGTTGGAGGGCCTCAAGATCAAGGGGCTTCAAATGACTTAAATCAACAATTTCAAACAGTTTTCTTCAAGATGCGTCCTGCTCTGAGTTTGAATGGATTCACTTCTCATCAACTTAGTCTGATTTGAATGGTATATGCTGTTGCATCACTCTCTGATTCTATTTATAATCTCTTCTCATTTGATTTGATCTCCTAAATTTGGCATTTTAGCTTCTTTATTCCAAGTTGTGACTTTCATTTGGAAATATTCTGGAGCATCTTTTCTTTCTTGTATCATTAATATATAGCATTAACAAGAATTATCTTTTCAATGGCTTTATCTTGTCTTTACTGAGAGATATAAGATTTTATATAGGAAACTGAATCCCTGCAGGTCACAAGGACGAACTTCAAAGATCTTGCTTATGTTCATTTCAATGGTGAAAGTTCTTCACAAGAATTAGTGGTTTATACAGATTCAGAGAGTGATAAGGACAAACTTGTGGTAAGACACCTCACATCTTTGAGGAGGATCTGTCAATTAGTTTCATATATTAAATGATGAGTATCCAACTGTTTCTTTTATACAAAACACTATTTCGGATGTTCATGTTAGAGAAATTTCTAAAATTTAGAACTTTAGATCCTATTCTGTATGTTTTCTTCCAGAGATAGAATGGCCTGACAATTCTTTCTGAAAATTTAATTCCATGACAGGAGTAAATGAAAAAAAAAAAAAAAACTAAAAGTAAAACATAAAGTTTCAAGGCATGGATGTTGGTATGACTGCATCTTGTGCACAAACCTGTTGGTGCTGAATTTAGATTCTGAGGCTATATAAATGGAAGTATGAATCTGACTGCTGCATTTGGTATGAAGGCATCATTTGCATTTTGTGATGACTCTTCTCCTGTGCCCCAATTTTCTGTAGGAGGAGGTGAAGAATGAGCATCAGAGAAGGGCAGAAATGAAGATCAATGCGGCAGTGGGGTTTCGTCATGTGATTGATCTCCTTTCCTCAGAAAATAAGTTGATTGTTGGACACGATTGCATCCTGGGTATCCATGCTAGTCTCAAGTTAGATGAATGTGTCATATTACTGAAATAGATTACTGGAGTGCTTTTATATTGGTGATACGGATATCGCTCACATACACAGCAAATTCCTAGTTCCTCTTCCTTTGACAGCTGAAGAATTTGACACCAAAATACTAGTGAATGCTGACTACACATTGCAACGATGGATGAAGAGATCCAGCACATCATTATCCTCAGCATTTTCCTTCTTATGCCCAGAAATTGCTCATGGGTTTAGAAATAAAGTTCTGTCTTCTCAGCCACGTGTTAAAGTTGAGGTCCATGCGGATGACATGAGGTTTGCCTTCTGTTCCCAACACTCTCTAAAATGTATTGGTTAAAAGGCCTTGTTCAATTTGTCTGGAACTTCCTTCTCTATCCTTTCCCTTTCTCTCCTCCCCCCCCCCCCCCCCCTCCTTCTCCTCTCTTAAATTTGGGCTACTTTTGCAATCTGAATTATATAGCTTAATATTTGCTCATTTTTGCATGTTTACTAGAGAGATCTCATTACCCTATATCATCCCTTCCAGACTAATTAGCTAAAAACGTGGACACTTTGTGATAAATGTTTGCACTGATAATGAATCAATAATGCTACTCTTGCTGCCACTCTCAAGTTGAGGAGCCACTCGGTGGTCCTTTTAGACTAAAAACGGAGCCTTAATTTGCAGGTCCTCTGATTGGAACTCTGGAGCCAAGCATGAAGCTGGCTATGATGCTTTTATGACAGGCTGTGTGTTTTCCCAGGCATGCAGTCACCTAGGCATTGATTTTCAACTACATTCACCTTTTGGAAATCTGGCCAAGAATTAAAAGCTCCAGAAGCACATGAACCTTCTACATCTGAGAAATTATCAATCTAAGGACTGGTAACCAGACTGCAGAGCTGTTGGGCTCTAATATCATCAGAAAGCGGTTTCCACAGACTTTATTTGAGAACATTGTTTTAATCTGGGGAGTCCCGCCACAACTGAAGCCAAGTATGATAAGAGAATGCATCTGCAAAACTTTTGGCCCTATCTCTGTTATTTCCATCTACCGTATGGATCAAACTGCAGTGTTTGTTCAGTTCAGCAAGGCAGAGTTGGTCTCTGATTTTCTGATTTTGAAGGAAACCCTGGACCAAAATATTAACGCAATTTCTGTTTTGCATCCTCTTTGGAAACTTTTGGAAGGTGGAAATACTCGTGCTGCTAATTATGAAACTTATAAAGAGATCTGTCCATCACCTGTCTCAAAAGTATTGTTTGCAGATCAAGTGGAGGCTGTAGGTATCAAATGGAAGACCGAATTGTTACCATCCAATGTAGAAGGGAGCCAAGAGAATAATAGTTTCCATCTAGAAAATGTACTGTTTGCTCCAGAAGCTGTTGAAAAATTAAATGCATCAAATAAACAGTTGACATGTGATGAGAGCATTGATTCATCTCTTAAAGTTGAAAAGATTATAAGAATCTTAATGTAACTCGGGCTTGAAGGCGATTTTTTGATATCTTTTTCCTCTTACTTTATTGTGAAGGCTGTATGACATCGAGATTTTTGTTTGCAAATGTTAGGATTACTAAGTTCAAAATGAAGATCACATTTTGATCTTCTGTACATGAACAATTTGTGTTTGAAATAAAATTTATATTCTTGACAATATAGATTAACATGATGAATCAATTGTTTGTCACTGGATTCTGATTCACTGATCCTTTCTTTATTTTCAAGCTTGGTAAACCTATATGGATGAATCCAAGGCGAAATAAACCTACTAGAAAGGCTAAAGAAAGCAAAAGAATGGCAATGAAACAACAGAAGGCACAAATAGTTTTAAGAACATAAGATAAAACAATCCATGGAGGTAGGGAAATGAAACCAATCATCACATAGAACTTAAAACCAAACGAACTGTACTAGGTAAGATACTACATCAGCAAATACATAATAACTAACATGCCTCCAAGAGCAGTCATGAAATAAGATGCAACTGTCAGCTTGATGGTAGAATTTTGTGGTGGTGGCCCCCAAAACGGGCCCCAATCATCCCCTTCATCGGATCCATCCTCCTTAGGTGAAGGTAAGGGTGCAGGCTGAGGAGAGCTGATTGCAGGATGCACCATTACGCGAACAATCAGTTTCTGACCAGCTATGCAGTGATCATGCTCCCCACTGATGAAGTAGAAGAACCCATATCGGTCAAATTGGAAGACTGTGTCTCCATCATTAAATTTAATGATTGGATTTGACTCACTGCAATTAGTGTAGCTTGTATGGTTCACTACCAGCACTGAGTCATTGCTGTACTTGAAATCTAATAACAGACAAGCAAACATTAGTAAAAAAACCAGCAAACTAAAGCAGATTATCGAATTTCGTGTACACAAAAGCAATTAAACTTGATAAATTTCATTTCCAAAAAGCTAATGTATTTCTTCACAAATTTAACAATGTTGCCGACAGTTTTATCATGCTATTAAACTACACTTTTTGTAGACAAAAGTATAAATGGTAAACTTACAAAGAGAATCCCCAACATGAAACCTGTTCCTGGTGGCCCATTCATTGTAAGTTTCGGACTCATTCCCAGTTGGTTTGGTCCATCCTCTCTTCCCACCAACCCTGAACTGAAGTGAAGCAGCAGCAACCGCAACCATAGAGATCCAAACCAGAGAAAACAAAGTAATTTTGCAGAGTTTTGGAAGAGAAAAAGAAGCCATTTTACTTCCTGAAAGCTTAAAATAGTGTAGAATTTCAGCTACTAGAGAAAAAGGCTGAAATAAAAAAACTCTTTAGTTATAAGGGAAGCAAAGTGGCATATGGCAGTTAAGTTAGTTACCTTTCTTGCGTGGGGTTGATTAGTGGCGTTGGACAGTTAAAGTCCTCATAGTCCCACGTTGTTTGACCTCGTCTTTCACGCATGTCATGGCATGGGGTCCTGCTAAGTGGATCCCACTTCAACTGATAGATTTATTATAAATCAATTTCGATCACTCGAATTAAGAGTCATGCTTCTTTTATCAGTAGATCATAAGACTATTAGCTAAGGGACGTTTTCATATAGATGAGAATCATGGTTTAATTTAAGTATTACTTTCAGGTATGAAATTCATATATACACGCATGCATGCAAAAATAGTGAATATATAGCTGCAAGTAGATGGCAATGAGAAGATTGACCATTCCTTTATTCACTTGACAAATGTTGAAGAGGATGGGAAATCTGAGACTTCCCATGTGAGAGTGTAGACATGACAGTAAAATCACCAGTGCTGGAAGTTAATAGCATTTTCAGAATTTTCAGGGAAATTCCCTGAAGCAATAAATATATGTGTGTGTGTGTGTGTGTGTATATATATATATATATAGGTTATTTCCATTTAGAGATTCTAGTGCTTGTAGACCATAAATAGATCAAGGAAAAGCAACCTGTGGGTAAATAACATGAAGATTTAGGTGAATAGGATAAGATCCAGTACAGTAGGTTTATGATAAACAAAATTGACAAGCTTTCTAAAATATATTGAAGGTGCTGTCCAGGAAATGTGAAAACCTCTCTCAATTCACTTGTAACGTAAATGGATAAATCTTATCAAATTGTTATCAACTTAACTCAGAAACAACCATTTTCTTGGATTATGAGTTTTTGCTAGTAAATAAATTACCTGCAGCTAATTAGAGTGACTGGACATGCATTGACAGTAATCCATATGAAAAAACTTGAACAAAGATAGTAAAACTAAATATATATAATTAACTAATTTCTTCCTCACAAGATTAACCTTAATGTACATAATCATAACATTGAATTTTATTTTGGTACTCAAGATTGCTATGTTTTAAATTCGGATCACTAGAACTAAGAGGTTAACACTCTACCATTGGAATATAAACTACAAACTATATCTCAAACCCAAATATATATCCAAAATTTTTTTGATGGTTAGCTTACTTGTTACTATAATTTATCATAACTATCAACTAAAGGTTAAATCCAAAGGAGTTTTGTTAGGTTCAAAGCTCATGCCATGTTTCAAGCAAAATATGCTAAAGAGGAAAAGAAACTTGTGAACACAAGTGCTTGAAATGCAGAAATGATCAAAATTAGATAATGATAATAACAAAGAGATCCTTTTCATTTTCCCAAACAAAGGAATTTTCAAAAATTGTTGGTAAAACCCATAATAAATGCGCCAAGTGAATCTATGTAGAAACTGCCAAATAATAAATAAAATAAATAAATAACAATAACAATCAACAACCCGTCACAGCCATGCATTGCTGGTTATAGCCGGTCACCAAGTTACTTTAAGAAGGGGTGCTTCCCTGGTTGTTCATGGCACTACGGTTTAGAGTTACTTCCTTATAAGTTACTTTTGTTTTTTCTTCTTCTTCATCTAATTTTTATCTTCTTTCATCTTCTGTTACTTGCGTCTTAGGAGTACGTTTATACACACACACACACACACACACACATATATATATATGTTGACAATATATGGATTTGCATGCTTCTTCCCATTATAATAGTTATAATTCTAGTAGCAATTTTTCTCCTATTTTTATAGATCCTGATGATGGTGATTTTCATATGTATGTGACAGTGCAGCAGATCAAGTGAATACATGCATGCATGTTGGAAGAAGAGATGGGATGGGAAATGTTGACAGAAGAGAGAGAGCACAACCCGGGATTAGCTAAAGAGAGTCTTTGCTTTTGTTGGGAGTGTGCTTTCTCTTCTTCTGTCACCACCATTTTTTTCACTCTCCTCTCTTCTCTCATGTTCCCACTATCATCCTTTTCACATCCAAACACATCCAAATCATGATCTGCTGTAATTTTTTCTTGACCCTCTTCTCTTAGTGTTCTGTTTAAGTATAGTTTTGTTTGCTCAAAAAAATCTTGTTTCAATAGTAATTTATCCTTGTTTAGTTGGACTATGTAAAGTCCTTTATCTTTGTTTATATACAATTTTTATGATCATAAATGTTCAATAAAGTCAATTGATAGACCAACACATGACAGAAGGCAAAATAGAAAAAGAAACCAAAAATTTTAAACCTATAAAGATATGGGAATGGAATATATATAGCTTTTTGAGATGCTTTCTTGCATGATATAAACCACTGGTTTAATTTGGTCTTAGTTACTAGGATATCCAGAAAGGAATAAGTATGTTCTACTTGGAATAGCAAGTATGTTGATGCCTCTGAAAATTAAATTTCTTCTTTGTTTTACTAGTATTTCTATCATTACATCAATTTATATTCTTCTGATATAATATTTTGAGTACAATCTAAATGGTACTGACAGATTAATGTCACAAATGCAAAAGTTCCTTGAATGTGTGATGGATTGGAATTGCTTTACACCAACGGTGAAGAATCTAAGATAGATTTATCCTTAAAAGAAGCTTATTTGGCTATTTATGTAAGCCCCAGAAGCATATTAGAACCTTACTCTTATAAAAACAATAGCCTTTAGACTTTTAAGTCCTATATTTCTTGCATTACATGTTTAACATACCTATGTTTGTTTGATTGCATCAGCAATTCTTCATACTACCATTAATGATAGATTCTTTATATTATCACTTGTTAGATTTGCAGAAGAAAAGGATGATAGATGGATACCCCATAATTTGTTTTATATGAAACTGAAAGATCTAAACTCTTTTTCTCTTTGTTTCTGCTGATGGTTGTATGTAATGAGGGATTGGATGGGAGATATTGTAAATGAAATGGAATTCCTTACCACTTCAGTACAAATACAATACTTCCATTAGCGCCGCTCCAATCTGTCAGCAAAGAAGGATATTTCAAAAGCACGATTCAAACCAGTTACAGATGGAAGATCAATGCAGGAGGCTTAAAAACTATAACATGGGTCCAAAGGCCGAGAGTTCACATGTCACATGGAAAGCCGGAAGTGCCTTAACTTTACCAGCTGGGAGTTAATACACCTCTGCAGGGGAAAGAACTATTCAGGAAGCAACTATGAAAGTTGAATGTGATATGAATATAACTCAAAAGTGGTCCCCTCGTTCCCTGTTTGTAAATCGCTTTCTGGCATGATCTTGCCTTTCCAACTCTTTAGCAGAGATTTTCTATGCTGAATAAAATGGATTAACTAGAGTGAATTGGGTTATTAAGTTAGAATTCTTCGTAATTTGTAAATTTATATCTGCTTCTGCGGTCCTTTGCTTAGTTTGATTGCACTTTCTTCTGCTTGTTCCATATTTGTTTTCCTTTAGCTAAAACTTTTTTGTTGCTTTGATGGGTTTGCATAGACATGATAAATGAAGAGAAGCACTGGCAAGCAATCTAAAAATACAAATTTAAGGAAAATTCTCAGTCTGGGGTGGCTCGCTGTCAGTTTGATGGTTTAATGTGTTACATCTGCTTGTTGCAGTTTGTATTACTTTATTTGTTTTCCAGTCAAACTTCCCATGTGAACAAATCTACAACCAGTAAGTCCTCACTTTCAGGTTTTTATTCACTCCCCCCCTATTACACTCTTGGTTTGGAGCAAAACAGAAGCAAAGATTTGGTTGCAAAACTCAGAAAAGTAAAACATGCCCAAGAAGGCCTCATGAACTACTTAAGACCAAAGATTTGCAGTGTAACTGTGAATGGAGTTCAAGTTCTATATACTTCATTTCTTTGTTGATTTTGTGTACATTAGGAGCAAGAATCTAAATCGAACTCAACCGGAAATGTTGCATTGCCAGTACAAAGAGGGAACTTGGAATGAAACTAACCAAATGAGTGAGAAATGGTAGATCATATCAAGAATATCTCAAAACTTTGAAAGGAATATATCTTCAGATTACAGCAGAGACCACATAGTTCAATACAGTATTTTGAACTTAGACTAATGAACCCCTAGTCTCCAATTAGCAAACGAAAACGAAGTAACACTATAATGATGGTCTAAAAAACATTGAAAGAATCAAACAATCAATGAATTTCGCGTTAGAAAAAATGAAATCTAACTCTAGTCAGCTTTGAATCCCACCCTCATCAAGCAGTTGTTTTGCGTTCTTCATCGTCTGAAACAATGTCCTCAACAGTTAAGCTACAAGAGAAAGTGAGACTTGGTTTCATCTTTGGCACAGCTATTGGATCCGCCTCGTTGTTAAGTATCTGAACGACTCTTCTAATTGAAGGCCTCTCAGCACTATCGGGGTGTGCACATCTCAAACCTACAAGCAACAGCTTCCTCATTTCTTCCTCCTTGAAATCCCCATTCAACCTTTTATCAGCAGCTTCGGTGATCCTTCCCTGACCATGCAATCCCCACACCCAGTCAACCAAATTCACCATTTTCTGGCTGCTTAGTTCCCTCTCAATTGGCCTCCTACCGCAAGCCACTTCAAGAATAACCACACCATAGCTGAAAACGTCGGTTTTCACTGTTGCTTTTCCATACTGAAGATACTCTGGAGCAAGGTAGCCCATAGTTCCTGCTGTAAGTGTTGAAACTGGACTCTTATCGTGATCCATCAGCCTTGCCAATCCAAAATCACCAAGTCTTGGATTAAAGCTCCCATCAAGCATTATATTACTAGTCTTTATGTCTCTGTGAATGACTTGCTGTTCACATTCTTGGTGCAGGTATGCTAATACAGAGGCCAATCCAATAGCAATATTTTGCCTATGGGACCATGTCAGCAATATGCCTGTCTCAGGTTCTGGATGAAGCACCTTATCAAGGCTTCCGTTAGGCATAAAGTCATAAACAAGTAGCAATTCATCCTTCTCAGCACACCAACCTTGTAGCTGAACCAGATTCTTGTGTCTCAAACAAGCTACAATGGACAACTCCGCGAGAAATTCAATTTTACCTTCGCGGGAGTGTTTTGATCTTTTCACTGCAGCAACAGCCCCCGAAGAAACGAAAATGGCTTTGTAAACATTTCCAAATGCACCACGTCCTATGATTCTACTTGAGTGAAACCCTCTTGTGGCTGCATACAGTTCTTTGTAACTAAACTCCCTGGGCCCTGTCAAAATCTCTGCTTTGAGACCATTTTCTATTCTCATATACTTCCATTTCTTCACAGAAACATACCCAAAAACTGCCAGAACCACAAAAAAGAAAGCCGGACCGGCAATCCCAAGTCCTAAACCAAGTCCCTTGTGGTGTTTATTGGTAGAATTTGATACAGGAACATCTGATATTATTGTAACTGAACTATCAGATACATTATGAGGATGTGACTTTGGTCTCACAGGAAGGAAACCAAAGGTCTTGAAACTCCAATTCTCGATCAAATGAACTTCAGTACTCCCTTCTGTTGAAGCTGAAAACCCAACAAACATATCCTCTTTAAGATAGCCAGACAAGTCAAAAGCCACAGATAATAATGGCGTTGGAGGCTTTAAACTTGAATAGCTCAAGAAGACATTCAAGACCCTCAAATCATTCTTGTAATCAATCCAAGCAGTGATCAAATTCCCACTCTTTAAATCAATATCTTGCAACAATGCATCAGCTGTCTTGATTGAAGTGAGCGCGTTAATATCCAAACCAACATGGTTTTCATTTGGATCATTGAATTGAGCATCAAGCTTGGTATCAAACTCAATCGCTAAAAACCGGTTTTTGGTCAACTCTGAAGAGTTAACAAGACCAAGATACCCCCCAGGACTCCCAAGAGTTTGATTATCAGGTGAAAGAAAAAATGTTAACCCATCACCAAAAGAGCTCGGATTGACATTTTTTACTGAAAAAGAGAAACTTGTAGAAAAAGAAGCTGTAATATTGGATTCTTGGTCAAAGAAATGAATGGGGTTGTTGTAGATTATGCTACCTGAGCTTGAAGACGGAACACCAATCTCCCTGGTAAGGCCTATGACGCCATTTTTAAAATAGGAATCACCAAGAAGAGTGAGGTTCCTGACAGTGAAGAATGGGAAATCAAAGGTGGTATTTTCAGCTGATATTAAAGGTGGTAAATGGAAGGTGAAGATAAGAAGCAAGAAAACAAGAAAGTTTCTTGGTAGCATTGTTATGTTTTGATCAGATTCTTGGAATGGACAAGAAATACACAAAAATGGAATTTTCTGCAATAATGGAAAGAGAATTATAATGTCTTAAGTTTTTGCAAAGAGAATTAATAAGAAAAACAGAGAATTAGGACTGGTTTAAACGGTTAGAAAATAGGCGCCTGTGGGGTTTTGAAGAAAAAGAAAAGGAGAGTTCTTATTATACTTTAACAATGAAAGTATAACGGTTAGAAGGATTGAAGTTGGTTGGATTTTGGACATGACAAAAACGGTGTAGTTTTAGTTGATATTATTATAATTTAAGATTTTATCTGGGTTTTCAAAAGTGACCGTTTCTAAGGTGGGCGGACTCTGCATTCTGATATTATTATAATTTATGTGACAGCCATGTGAATGATGATCTCCCTTCCCTTCTTTAAAGCCAACTCAACATTTGACCGAATGATGATGGATAGGCTGACCCCAAAATAAATGGCCCACAAACGAAAAATTGATGGCATGTTGAATTTTATTTTATAACATAAAGAAAATAAGTTCTCAAATCTTGTTCTCACATTCTTTTCTTTCTTTTTTTTTTTTCCTAGAATGAATTGTTAAAGTATATGAGTGAAACGCAGTTTTTAGAATGTGAAAATGAGCCAAGGGATTAAATCATTTGGCCCCAACATCTTAGCTTCATTGTATGAATGATGACGTTAAATTTTGATAATTTAAAATATAATATAATAATATAATTTAAATATAATATAAAAAACACGAAGATAATAATTTAAATTTTTAATAATTATTATATATAAATTTAATAAAATAAAATTTTATATTTTATATTTTTATTTTGATCTGAATTATAATATATAATTTTTATATAAAATATAATATTAATACATAAAATTTTAATATTTTACATAATATAAATATATAAATTATCAAATTTTTAAATTCCACGAAATATACTAGGTACACTTTTGGTTAACAGCATCTAAACAAGGGTGGTGGTTAGAAAAGGATTTGGGTATGGTATGCCTTTGAATAGGCGACACCCTTACAATGGGATCTTTTGTAGCGAGCTCCCTTTGGGTGAATTCAGATTTCTAAGATTTTTTAATTAGATGTTTGGAATCCAACTCAAACGGCAATATAGATAGTGGATCAGAACAGGTGTCAGCATGGAAAAGAGGGAGGCCAAGTGAAATGGCAATAATGACAAAAGCCATGTGAATATTGGGTCCAATCCAATCCAACATTAAACTAAAACAAATCTAAAATCACAGCATTACACGTCATTTAGCCGTTACATATGTAGAAAATTCAGCCAGGTGGAAATTGCAAAAGTTATTTTGGACTACTTACTGCAGCTTCAATGCCGCTGAGTTATTGGCAATGGAATTTTGTCAGCTCTACGCAGTTAGCAAAAAAAGAAAAGGTTTTATCTACTGATGACACAATTAGGATATAAATCATTTGCTACAGGTGAGCATTTCAGAAAGAAACATTATTCAAGTTTTAAATTCCTAGCCATGGAGAAATGGAAGGAATATCCATGGAGGACTGGTTTTTATAAAGTGCTTTGTTGCCTCATCATGTGATTTCGGCCTACAAAGTTACCGATGCCAGGAAGATAATGCCAGTGAAACCGAAGAGACAATTATACCTTTCTTCATGCAAAGCTCTCATTGAAGATACTATGGGCTTACAAGATCAAACCATCCAATTTAACTGGCACGATTTTGCTGGAGCTTTCTTGGCAAGAGAACTACGAAAGAGTGTAATTGTTAGTCCAACAACAAATAACATTGTACAAAGTTTTTCAGTTTGTATGATAATCACCTTGAGCAATGCTGCAAAAGCTTTCTGGGGGAAATATTTCTTCTGGATCTACATTTTGCTGGGAAGCGACAACCAGAGCCACACGATTTTTACTGCAAAACTCCCTAAAAGTCAAACACTGGTTTTCTGGAACACACCTTAAGCTGGAATTCCACACTTATTTTTAGGATGACGCAATGAGTCACATACCTGGCCCATGAAGGAATAAATTTTCTGTTAGGTTCATCCTCATCTTCTTCTTCATCTTCATCGTCAGAACCTTTGTAGGGAGAAATATCATATGATTGTTCCTGGCTTGTATCTGCAATTCGGTTATCACTCTCCGTTGCTCTATCCACAGTGCTCATTACCTGAGAAAGATTCAGCAGTGAAAAACATTTGACAACCATTGAATAAGTAGAAGAAATATTCAATTAAACTGCTACCAATATAGCAAAGTATATAAGCCTTGCATAAAGAAGACTATTCCTCTTTAGTCTCCACGACGTTACAAAAGCTAGCAACAAAGAGGTCTGAGTGATGCACAATAATCCATTTGAAAGGTCCCATTATGAATCCTGAATGTTCATTCCATCAGTTTGGTGTAGCACAGCTGCAATCAAGATTTTCATAACAATTCCCCTTATGTGACATTCACATAAGAAAAATCTCACTGCAGATGTCGCTTTTTTTTAGTGCACATGTTGCTCAATGAAAACCATATGTTATACCCTCTCAATGCAAACTGAGAGAATACTTAAGCACTTGCCCCATGCATAACACTTAACAGTCAACATTGTCCTATCAAACAGATTTTCAGATGGTTAACAATAAAGAGACATTGCATTTGGTTTAATAAAGAAGTAATACTAACAGTAACTCTTAAAAAATCTTTTATTAAGCCAAAGAAGGGATAATATCTTGAGGGAAAATGAATTTTCCAAAAATAAAGTTCTGAAAAGTATGCTGCTAAAAGAACTTTACCTTTGCATTAGAATCGTCAATGGCCGTGCTTGCCTTAACAGCATCAGAAGTTGAAGCAACAGCTGTCCTAAATTCCATCTCTGACATTTTTCCTTCATTTCGGCCTGCTATTTCTTTTTGCATTTTTTCATGTTGCACTGCTTCATCATTAGGAACCTTCATTGTTTGTACTTTCTCATCCTAAAGCAGGCATCCACAATTAATGCCATTTCACAGAAAGAAAGATCTAAAAGCAAAACCTTGTTACAGCATAAGGGAGTTTACCTGGGCTTGGCACTTCTTTTCTTTCTCATCCTTCTTTGGACATAACTTTTCTTCAGGAGCACGCTGCTGCCTCCGAGCTTCCTCCACACGCTTTCTCTTTCTTTCTTTCTCCAACCTTTCTTCTTCTTTCCTCTGTCTTTTCTTGGCAGCCATATCAGCCTCTTTTTTCTTTCGTTCTTCTTCTTTCTTTTTCTTCTCAAGCTCCAACTGCCTCAAATTTTCTTGCTCCAACCTTGCCCGTTCAAGTTTCAAGGCCTCCTTCTTCATCTTACGATCATTTTCTTTCTTTTCTGCAAGTTTCTTTGCAGCTTCGGCAGCCTCCAGAGCCTTCACTTTAACATCCCTCTTCCCTAAAGGAAATTACAATTAACTTAAAGCATCTGCATAATCTATATGTAATACAGTTTTCATAAAATGCTGGGGAGAAATGAGAGAAAAAGAATGGCTGGAGAAGGAATGAGTAAATGATTACCAGTGATAATAGAAGCTGCTTGTTTTTGCTGAACAATTGGAATGAACGAAGTGATATTTGAAACTATATTATTGACCTTTGACTCCTTTTGTGAGAAACTTGGCGCCCCTTTTCTCAAACTGGTTTTCTCAGATAGTTTTGGTTTACTGAACCTGTTACGAAGTGATTCATTGACCCTTGTGGTACCATTTGCCCCCGGTACTATACTACTGTTCTTCTTCAACTTTTTTGTATCTCTCCTCTTTCTGGCATTGTGTTTTTCAACCTTTTGCTTGATCCCATTCTCAGTCCCGGTGAAGCTGTAGGCAGTGTTCACAGAGTCCAGGCTATCTCTAACGGTAAATATTTCAGCTCCAGAAACTGATGCAGGAACATTTGGACATTCCTTAATCTCAACAAGCGGTTCCCTTTTGGCAGAGAAAGTCACTGCAGAAGCAGTGCCTTCCTGAAATGCATCAACCACCTCTTCTGTATTCTCATTTTCTTCACTAATGCAGGGAAGCTCTAGGTTTAGGCTACCTCGCTTCTCTGAACTGTTGGAGTTTGATGTGATTCTATCCCAGAGTTTGCCAACAGGAGAAAGATAAGGTTTCTTCACATTTCCAGTAACTTGAGAACTAGACAATGGCAAGCAATCAGAAAAGCATCTTGCAAGAAATGCATGGTTCGTTTCCTCACCAAAGCAACTAGTGCTAACTTTAAGTTGATTTTTCCTTTCATCATTTTCAGGAAGGATGCTCCTTAGCTCCCTGCATTCTAGAAGTCCATTAGGAACAGACTGGTAAAGGTTAGTTGCTTGGTGCAATCCATAAGTGGTTGGGAATTGGGATAATGGAGTATGGGTGCAAGCAGACTTGCAAAGCTGCTCCAGAAGGCTAGCACGTTCTATAGCAGTCTTTGGAAGGTCCAATTTTTCAAAGCTAATTCCTTCTCCTCCATTGCATATCTGTTCATTGTCCGTCTGAATAATGAACCCCTCAAGTTCTGGTCTGCTTTGATCAGCACTGATCAAGTCTGTAGGTGTTCGGTGCGGAAAACCAATGAGAGAAGTCGAAAATTCACCATCTTGTCCAAGTTGAGATTTGCTTTCTGGCTTGCTCCTTTCATCACAAGCCAAATTTTCAATATTTCTAAATTCTGATTTATCCCCAACATTCAATAAAATTTGGTTCTCATCTGTAGTGCATTTCATTGTTGAACCAAACATAATGCTGGGTGGATCTACTGCTCCTGTTCCCTCCACGGAGTGATCTTCAAAATTTTCAAGGGTCTCTTGGGGCAAACTTGAGACAGAAGACACATCAAATTGATTATGCATAAAAATGAATGAGGTGTTTTCATTTCTGCCCCTCTCTTTCCAATTACAATTCCCCTGGAAAGCACAATAATAAGACATTCACTTAGCTAGTGTTCAATTTGCAAGTAACCTGTGCAATTTATATATAGTCTGTCCAGCATATATATGCTAATTTGAAATCAGGTGATAAAAGACCACTGAGCAATATACAACCTTTTAATAGTAACTAAGTTCAAAATAATATAAGCAAAATTCAAGACAAAAGAATTTGAGATCGATTAGAAGAGAGATTGAGAGGAAAGCTAGCAATCAATGGAAACCATCTATTGAGATTAATATAGCAAGTCAAAGCATAACTGCTATTCTGATGACTTGGGATTGGCTTTGTAATCCTTTGCTTCCTAAAGTTTTTGACGCATGTTAATTAAAGGGTAACCTCTTAAGAGGCAGTATTATCATTGAAAAACAATCAAGTTAAGCTTAACCAATTGTTTTCATGCCAAAGACAAAAGTTAGTGAAAGTGTGAGCATTTTGTAGCAGGGAGAGAGGCATAAGACATCACTATCACATGGGAAGTCCTGGATATTAAAATAATAAGGAATTAAAACTAGAGGAAGATTCAGGTCTACTCATTATGTAGCATACCGCATTCTGATATTCTTCAGCGGCTAGAGACTTATTGGCATTTAATTGCATAGCATCTTCCTTCTGAGATATAAAAGTTCTGAGATTTAGGATATGCTTAGGATTACATTATACCAAATTCTAGTTCCTTGAAACAAAACCCAGTAAATAAACTCAAGTGCTTTACCTTCGAGCTTAACCACAAAGACAGGGAATTACTTTGTTGACCATCAATCTTCCTCCGCTTATGAGGCCATGAACCCTCCACATGGGAGCCAGAATGTAGACCTGGCTGTATGGATTGAATTGCAGCCTTGTTGTCCCTTGATTTTGCATCTGTGTGATCTAGAACTGAATCAATGTCATCAGAAATGCATCTTCCCATTAAGTCTTCATTCTGATTTTGAGGACTTGTCTCCGTTTTCTGTTTCAGAGAATGACCCTTGGTTTCTTCAAATAGTGCATCACGAGGATGCTCAATTGCATTACTGAAAGTTGCATCTGCTTCCCTTAGAAGGGCAAGGCTACAAACTCCAGTGAAATCAAGATCTGCCAAAATTGCAGGACCACTATATACATCAGTATTAACATTACTAGCTTCTGTGACCGACATTAGAGATTTTACCACTTCAACCTTCCCATAGTCCTTCTCAAAGGGATAATCCATCCCTGTATGAGCATTTAAAGTAGTTCCTGCCACATCCTTTATTGAGTTTCCAAGCAAATTTTCGTAAGAAACTTTCAAGGTAGCTAAAAGATCTTCCTTGAAAGTTTTCTGTTTGGAAATTTCATTGCTTTCAGGCAGAATACTTGTTACAGCATCTGTACAAGCCTCAGATGTTTCTTGTTCGGAGGACACAACATTTAAATTTGAAGTTCTACCTGGTCCAGATGTCTTGCTCAAAGCTGTTTCAGACAGTTTCTCTTCTTTGCTATAAGCTTCTTGCTCCTCCAGCAACTGCTTTTCAAGGGATGAGTTGTTTTTTTCTTGGCCATGAACAGAAGTTACTTCATCCAGCTCAGCTGCAGAAGGAAGTGGTGTAAGAGACCTTTTCTCCAATGAGTTGACCACTTCTTCACTCTCCAAAATAAGACTAGAAACTTCATTCACAGTGCACTCTTCCAAATCATCAAAATCAAGTTGCTTGGGCGACACCAACATAGCAGATGCAGAGTGTAGGCTTGCTCCTGCGACTTCCAACTCAACTCTTTCATGCCTATTCAATGATTTTACAAGAGGATTGTTATCACCATCCAAGTTAGATGCAGAACTAGCTGAATAAGCCTCAACTAACTCATCAGAATCTGCGTCAGTATCTGCAACAATTGCATCACATTGATTCAATTCAGCAAGACCACTGTCATCGGCACAAGGCAAGGAATTTACTTGAGTACCAGAAAACTCCTTAAGTTCAGCCCCTTCAGACCTGTCTGATGACTTTGCAAATAGGGACTTTGTTTGGTTGTCACTTGTTTTGGCCTTTATCCCACAACTTTCATCAGTGATATCAAAAGGCTTAGTCAACTCCTTAAGATCATCAACATGGCAGGTCAGCTGCATTGATTTGCAAATGCCATCATCGATGCTCCTATCAGGACAGCCGTCCAGTTTCAAATGTTTATTCACACAGTTATGGTGTTGGCTAGAACTTCTCGATCTTGTTAATCTTCCTTGATGAACATTGCTTTCCTTTTCCTTGCTTTGGTGGTCTCTTGCTTTCCTAGAACCACATGTTTCATCAGAGATAACAGCAGGCTTTACCAATGCCAATAACTCATCAACAACATTATGCTGTTGTTCTGACTCGCTGATGGGTTCTACAAGCATATTGCACTCATGCTTTTGCAACATCAGAAGTTTTGCCAGCACACGAAAGGGCATTTATAGACTTGGGAGGTTGGAAGGAATGTCTAGCTCTTGTGATCCTACCAGAGTAAATATTTTCACCCCTTTCCTTGCTCTGGTTTTGACCACTTTCTTTCTTTCCCACAACACAAGTAACAACATTATCAGCTGGCTTGACAAATTGCAATAACTCATCAGCAGCATCAGGCTGTAGTCTTGATTCGTTAATGGATTCTGTAAGCACAATACCAACCTGCTTTGTAGCAGAAAAACTCTTGTCTGCAATTGGTGGACTATTCATAGACTTTGGAGGTTGGATAGAACTTCTTGACCTTGTGATTCTACTGGAGTAAATATCCTCATGCCTTTCCTTGCTCCGGCATTGACCTCTTTCTTCATTTTTCACTGCACAACAACTTCCAGCATTATGAACAGGTTCGATAAAATTTGATTCCAATAACGCATGACCAACAACAGGCCGTTGTCCTGATTTGCTGATGGATTCTGTAAGTACCACACCATCCTGCTTAGCAGCACAAAAAGTGTTGCCTGCTCCTGAAGGCCCACTTACAGACTTGGAAGGTTGGATAGAACTTCTTGATCTCGTGACTCTACCAGAGTAAACATTTTCACTCCTTTCCTTGCTCCTGCATTGCCCTCTTTCTTCCTTTTCCACCTCGTAACTCCCAACATTATCACCAGACCTGATCAATTCCAACTTATCCACAGGCTCGGACCGTAAAGAAGCAATCTTGGACCCTTTGTTTTGATTTTTGCAAGCATCACCATTCTTCTCACAGCACTCAACTTTTTTACACGCTTTTGCACTGTTTCGATTCTCTAAAGCCCTCTGCCTAGACTTAGATCTCTGGATTCTTGCCAGTGATAAACCAGGGTCAGGACAAATATCTGAGATCATCCCATCTTTACAATCTTGAGGAGGAGATGTAACACTAGGATCCAGCTCATCAGCTTTAGCAGAAAGGCACTGATCTAAGCCTTTATTCGAAGCATCAACTCGGGAGCATAAAACATGGGGTAAAGGCAAATTATCAGTTGTAACAACTGGCTGTTGGTACAGAGAACAGTAAGGAATGGAAGGTTGTGGATGTGGAAGTAAGAATCCTGAGACAAGATCTTCCTTATGCAACTCTGCAATTAAATGGCAGACATTTCCTTATTAAAAAATCCATTAAACTAACTGTTAGCCGAATACTAGATACCTAGTTTAAAGTAGGCGTAAGGGTAAAAAAGGTCCTCTAATACAAATTCAATAATCATTTAAGCTCATGGCATTTTATCACAATTAATCAAACCTAAAACCTTCTATTTCCAATCAATTGAATCCTTAAACATTTATTTATTTGTTTCCAATTAAATCCTTAAACATCTATTTTCACTCAATTAATCTCTTGGTCAGACAGAAACAATTAGCCATTTTCTCTCTAACAACGGTTCAATTGATGAAAATAAATGTTTGAAAATTTAATTGATTGCGAAAAACAATAAAGATTTGAATGATTATTTAATTTTAATTTAGGGACCCTTTTGATCTTTTTGCCTTTAGAATACTTGTTATATTGTGGAAAGAAAAAAAAAAGTACTTCCTATATTAAGTCTCAAGATCAAAATGCAACCAAGTATTCAAATGAAAAGAAGACTTTGAAAAGAAAATTGAACAAAGACAAAAGTTTAAACAGGAAAGGACTTTTCTAGCTTTGAAGAAACAAAATTTCAAAATTTAGATCTTGAAGTCAATGAAACATTCCTTCAAACATTTTCTAGTCTAAAAACTATTAAGCATTAAATCAAAACTATTAAATTAATTAAAGGGTAAAATCAAGAAGCTAATACTAAAGCAATGTTTAATCGAATATTTGAATTTTTTAAAAAATTAAAAAAAAGGAATACTAAAAAGAAATTAAAGACGCCATTGTTAAAGAACACTTAATATCGATAATGTACAGTAAGAAGAAGAAATTCATCAATTTCAATGGAAAAGAATCAAACCTAAGCATTAACAAGGAAACCGAAAGTCTAAAATCACATTATCTCTGGGATATTGATGAAATGAATAAAATGCACTTAGTGAACCTTCGAAAAAAAAGAAAAAAATGAGAATTGCAAAGCAGGAAGGAAAAAAGAAGGGAAGAGATTACCGGAGGGAGAAGAAGAGAGGAGCCACGGCGGAGGAACAAAGCCATTGATGAGACACTTGGAAGCGAGGTGGTGATCGAAGAGAAGGATTTGCTGCTTCATGTGATCGATTATTCGATTCTTCCTCTCGAAGATCTGAATCAACAGTTTCTCTGTTGCCGACATTTCTCTTCTTCTTCAATAGCCACGATTTTCCATCCACAGCAAAAAAAAAATGGAGTTTTTGATTGACTTTGAAGAGAGAGAATGAAAGAGAGTGAGATAAGCGCGGCTCTAGAATTTGAAATTCAGGGGTCAATCTGATAATTTATGACTATTCAGTGGCAAAGTAGGTATTTCAAAAGTATCCCTTAACCCTACGGCGTCGTTTTCCCATCCCCTACTTCACTTATGAAACGACGTCGCTTAAAGTCAATTTACGTTAAGCATACGACGTCGTTGTTGACACGGTAGCACCAAAGCTTCTCCTCCCCTGTTTTTCCTCTGCGTTTTCTTCAAGGCAAAACCTTTGATTCTATAAAAACTCTGTTTTTTTTTTTTTTTTTCAGAATTTTACTAAAAATAAAACAAAACCATTACTTAAAATGGAAATCCCATTGCCTTTGGATAAGCTATCTCTACCATCAATAACCAAGTAAGTTTCTCTCTTTTATTTTTTATAAATTTTATTTTTTTCAATTTAAATTATCTAATTTTATTGACATATTTTTTTCTTTTTTTTTAAAATCAAAGTGAGGATAAGATTTATGTAGTTTTAGTAGCTACTGGAAGCTTCAATCCTCCTACTTTGATGCACTTACGCATGTTTGGTAAGTTTTTCTCTTTTTTTTTTTTAGTTTATTTTTCATTTTTTCATTGTTTTTATTATTATTATTATTATTTTATGGTTAGAGCTGGCCAGAGATGCGATGAATTCAAATGGGTTTTATGTTATAGGAGGCTATATGTCACCTGTAAATGATGCATACAAGAAAAAGGTTAGTCTTTTTTAATATTTCTCTTTGCTGAATTGTTAATGGTAGAATTTACAAAAATCTAAACTTTGGGTTTTGATTCATTGGCATCTAGGAAATGGTTAGATAATTTGGTTGCTCTTATTTGTTTGAACTCGATCGTCAATGTGAGGGATGTAATTGAATCGAGCCGAGTCGATATATGAGAAATTAGAACTCAATTCGAAATTCATTGCTAAAAACTCAGTATGAGCTCAATCAAATTTTAATTTTTAAGTTCAAACTTGATTCAAGATAAAACGAGCTACTCGAGTTCATCCGATTAGGCTTGATTAATAAAAATGCGCTCGATTTCAAGTTCTATGTGTTCGAACTTGAGCTCGAGCTTGAATTGATATATATACATATAAGAGTAAAATAGTGATTTTTTAATTAAAATAATAAAAATATATTAAAATTTAAAAGCTCAATTAAGCTCATGAGTTATTCAACCCAGATATTAGAATGCTTGAACTTGGCTCGCTAGATAAATTGAACTACTTGAGCTTAAGCTTGACTTGACAATAACCGAACCAAATTCGAGTTTTATCCAAACCAAACCCAAGTAGTTTGCAAGCATCGATGTATCATTTACGTCCCTAGTCAGTGTATAGAATAATAATCAGGAAACAAATGAAGCAATGGATATGGGCAACAGTGTATTATTCAAGTTTATATGTACTATCTTGTTCTGTGGTTATATATAACAATTGAGTAGCTTTGACTGATGATGCAGGGTCTTATAGCTGCTGAACATCGTATCGAGTTGTGTAATCTAGCCTGCAAAAGTTCTGAATTTATCATGGTTGATCCTTGGGAGGTACTATTTCTCTTTCTCCGGCTTTGTTTTGCAAATTTGTTTGGAAATTATGAGTTGAATTGTAAAGAATATCTGTTGCATTTCAATGTATGATTTGCCTTGGATCTTTCCAAGTTTGTGTCCTGAAACTAACAGAAAATTTTTCATGCTTTTTTACAGGCAAATCAAAACTCTTTTCAGCGCACTGTAGCTGTTCTGTCTCGAGTCAAGAGCTTCTTGGTCGAGGGTGGACTGATAGCCGAGGGTATGCAAGAAGAAACTTATTACTTGCCTTTCTTGCTTTATAAATGTTACTGCCACAGACCGATGCACATACTTGATAGATATAGACATAAATACACCTCAGTTTGCAAGAGTGGCTTGATGCTTATTTTTCACCTTTAGCAATCCTCCTAATGCTGTTTATATGAAATTTCCTCATTGTTCCACAGCAGATACTAATAGCAATATCTCTGGCCTTTTACAGAATCCCTTCGAGTCATGCTTGTTTGTGGTTCTGATTTGCTTCAATCCTTCAGCATTCCTGGCTTTTGGATCCCTGAGCAAGTATATGCTTATATTAGTTTGTATGATATAGGTGTTACTGGATTGAGGAGACGTTAAAGTTATCGTTATTGTCTAAATTTACATTATGTTTTGCATCAAATTTCAGGTTAGAACCATATGCAAAGATTATGGCGTGGTTTGCATTTGCAGAGAAGGACAAAATGTGGAAAAAATCGTCAGTGATGATAAAATTTTGAAAGAACATAGGGTTAGTCGGATTTCTTATTCTTTCCAATGTTTCACAAGAAGCAAATCAAGGTCTTAATTCCTGGTCATTACTCTTAACAATAGTTGAATGTTGGTAAACAAACGAACGTTGGAATCCAACAAGTCATATACCATTTTGTGTCGGCCTATCTCACTAATGTTGGCACATTTGTTTTCTTGTTTCTTTCAGGATAACATTAAAATCGTCGATGAACTTGTGCCGAACCAAATCAGTTCAACTAGAGTGAGGTAAACAGCATTAGTTTTGTGGCTATTAGAGTACCGAACCATATAGTATTTAACATGTTTTTGAAGGCTAACCTTAATGAAGGCCCCCTTCTTTCCTTCATTTGTTTCAGGGAATGCATTTCAAGAGGATTGTCTATAAAATATTTGACTGTGGATCAAGTGATTGATTATATCAGAAAACAGAATCTATACTTGAACCCAGATGAGAAATGACTATTGACTATCCGATCATATTAATATTTTTTTAATTCTTATCTGTAAAAAACCATTGTTGATTAGAGAAGCATTCATTACAATCGATGGAGTAATTTGTTTTCATTTGTATAATATGTGAGCTATGGATTTAACATACTCTATCAATGTTCTTATTAACTTTAGCCAGTGTAACTTGAAATGCCATTAGTTGTTCGGTTTTAATAAGGCCCCCTTAGCGAAGGGCTCAAGCGTGTCTATTTCACTGAGCCTCTGTCTAAGACAATTCCCAGATCATTACGCCTTTCGTACAGATCAAAACTTACCTGACAAGGAATTTAGCTAACTTAGGACTGGCCGCTGCTCACTGGGGCTTCCATCATCAGGTCACCAACTTCGTTGACCTTGCGGCACAGGGCAGGCATCAGCCCCATACATGGTCTGGTCTTACAACTTTGCGGAGACCTGTGTGTTTGATAAACAGTTACCAGAGCTTGGTAACTGTTGTTCAAGTACCAGTACCGTTTGGCATTTCGGCCTGAACGTGACTCTGGTGCAATGAGAATGAATCTCTGTTGCACTGAAAGTGAATACCACTAAAACTGCTAGACAAAAAAAGAAAAATGATGGTAAAACAAACAAAAAACTGAAAAAGGGCAGTAAAAGAAGAAGCACCAGCTCAACTACTGTTTCTGTTTAACCACGCCAATGAATCCATACATGTTCAAGTAAAACAAGAAGGAAATATCACCCCAAAGCCACACCAATGCTTACCTTAACCCTATTTTTCTAAACAATGGATGGTTTGTCATGGTATCTGTTTATTCATATTTTGCTGACTTTTTTGTTCATCTCGTCATTTGAACTGACCAAATGGATCAAAGTTCTTAGTCAAAGAAGCCGGTGAAGATGATCCAGCAGCACCAGAAGCATCTCTGAAGTATCCTCCCATGGCAGTAGCAGCAGCATCGAACATCCCCTGGTGATGTCCCATATGGAAAGCAGGCCCGTAAGGCGCCATCATCATCTGTCCATAGTCTATCCCACGCTTCAAAATGGGTTCCCCACGCAATGAAGTCCTCTCATTCTCATTCTCTCGGTACCTGCTCAAGAAAACAGTGAGAGGCTCAACGTAGTCGTCAAATCCCAATTTTCCCATGGCCCAAAGCACATCCTCAGCAGTGATGGTCTTGCGTTGCTCACGTTGGCAACGTTCATTTGCTTCCCCGGTGATGAAGCTGATGTACTCCGAGACACATTCCTGGATGGTTTCCTTAGCATCATCGGAGATTTTGGCATGGGCCGGAAGGATACGGCGCATGATGCGGATCACGTTGGCTATCGGCATGTATTGGTCCTGTTCACGTACCATGCACGGCTGAGGAACGGTGTCGCAGTTGGTGGTGTTGCCATTATTGGTGTCATTGATTATGTTATTATTTCTGTTGGAGTTTGAGGAGTTACCATGTTGCATGATGCTCAACCCTGAAATCAGAAAGAAAAAAATTTGAACTAATAAATTATTAAATTAAACTTCAATACCATGAATAAGAAACCAAGTTGATTTACCATTTGCAATTTACTTCTTCCTTTCTTCACAACCATCAATTCATTCAAGTTTTTTTTTTTTTTAAATCATTTATACTAAAGTATAAAAAGTTTTTGGATATACATAAAAAGGCTAATAATTCCCCTTGAACTACTATATAACTTTTTTTAATGTGACACTTAAATTAAAAAAAATTTTAATTAGATACCTAGCTTTTAATTTCATGTATTAAGTTACCCTAATCCTAAATACCAATAGAATAATACTAACATAGTATTTAAATATTGACGCGGATGACACGTGACTATTATGTGATGATGATATGATTTTCATGTATCATTTTTAAAAAATAATAAAATAATAAAATTTTTTTTAGAAATTATAATTCAAAATTTTTTTTATTTTTTAAAAATGACATATGACAACCATATTTAAATTATATAACAGTCACGTATCATTTACATCAGTATTATTTTAATAATATTAAATGTTGAAACAATTTAATGTATGAAAATATAATTTAAATATCCTATTAGAAATTTTTTTATTTAAATATCATATTAAAAAATATAATAATTCAAAGACTAAATAAAATATTATTAGATGATTATAAACTCAAAATATAATATATCCATGACAAAAACAATAAGTGCAACATGTTACCTTCTATCTTAGTGAAAATTTGTGCGAGTAAAATTTTATATACACCAAATCGATATAAAAAAATTATTTTTAAAATTATTCGAAAAATATATTAGATTTAGTCTGATATTAAATTAAATACATTATATTTTTATTAAAAAAAGGCGAAAGTCAAAGTAACAGCAAATGAAAAATTAAAAAGTGTTTCATAAATGCCACCTTAGTGGGTTGCATGTCACACGTGCCAATCCAAAGAGAGGTAACTGCCTTATTCCAGGCACGAGCGGTTAATTAGGGGGCCACTTATTGGGTGGGCCCCAATGGGTTCTTAAAAAACGAGCCCCACCTATCACTGTTTAGATTCTTTGTTGGGAGTCTCAGCCCAAAGTCAAAGCCTTTTCCCCTTCTCAAGGTTTTGACATTTCCTTTTTCCAAAATGATTTCTTTTATCCCAAAAAAATGGTTGATAATAAAAATTTTGTCAAATTCATTAAACAAAATTATATTTAAACTTTATTAAAATATATTTAATTTATAATTTTTTTTAGTCAGAAAGTTTAAGAAAAAGTTTAAGAACAAACGAGATTATTCATCTCTAAGGTCAAAACAAACCATTAACCCATAAAAAGATTTATGAATTTTTTTTACAAAAATTTTTCAAACTTACAGATCGCTTATGAAACAGGACCGTAGGTTCGAACATGGTTGCAAAAGCATTCAGGTTCTAAACACTTGCATCTGTCTCTGATGGCAATTTATAATAATTATTACTATAAATTATTACTCAATTTTTTCTTAAAAAAAAAATAAAGTATGGTTTTATTTATTATATATTTGTTCAACAAATTCAAAATCTTGCATGCAAGCCATGTCCACAGAAATATAATGACAATAATAATGAGAATGAAAATGTAAAAATTATTAATATGATTATATCCCACATTTTATATTTATCTTATGATAATTATAAGAAAATGAGCCAACCGTTACTGTGAGAAAACAGAGGAAAACTAGATGAAGCCAAAAAGCTTAGAAACAACGGTGAAAATTTGATCAAAAGGAAGACATTGGTAAACCCGACAATGATTTCAAGCCACAACATAAAAATTGGTTTTTTGTAAAGAACATAACAAAGGTTTCCCATGTTGCATGCAAAGGAACAAACAAAACTATATTAAATCCAACCAAAAATGCAAGATCAAAAAAAAAAAAAAAACTCTTCATGCATGCAACAGATCATTCCTCTAAAAAAAATAGAACTCAAAGGCTTTGTTTTTTTTCTTTTTTTTAATACTTTACCAGAGCTTGACTTTGCATGCTTGTGAAAACGATTGAACCCATCACCACGTTCCATGACTTGTCTCTCGAAAATATAAGTATTTTTGTGTTTCAGGACTGTTGAAGGGCCTTGTGTCCTTTGAACGGGGACTTGACCAGTCAAGTGGGGGGATTTATAGTGCTAAACACACTCCACATGGCCAACCGGCGTTTCTAACGAGGAACTCACTATTGCCGGTCACACCAACCTCTCTGATTGGACAATGCCCTTCCCCTTACCGGGATTAACAGGTGGCCACTCATAAACCACCTCTCTTCTTTTGTCTTTCAAATTCCACACCACCTTTAATGTATAATGACTTCTTACCTTTGAAAGTGCTATTTTTGGTATATTAAAATTGTTATAAGTTACTTCTAATCATTACTTTCAAAATTTTAATTATATATATTTATACAGATATACATGTATTAAGTAATGTTAACTATAAAATTTAAAGAATAAACGTTAAAAAATCTCATATTTATACATAATTTCATTTTACGTTACAAATTAAGTTATAAAATTAGAAAAAAAAATGTTTGAGAGTTAAAGATTTAATTTAAACTTGGTTTGGTTTTGCAAAGTTATTGGTTTATTCAATGTTAATATATCTTACAATTACTCTTAATGTTTTCAATACCAATAAAGATTCAATTAATAAATAGTAGGAAGTTCAATGATGAAATTGATACAAATTGAAATTTTGAGGTCGTAATTGATGCATTTAGAAGCTCAAGGACAAATTTGATGCAAATTTAAGATTTGAGGTCTTAAATCTTAATTGATACAATTACAAGTTCAAGAATGAAATTGAGGGGGTCTTAATGGATACAATTAGATGTTCATGGACGAAATGAGACAATTTGAAAACTCTAGGTCTTAATTGAAACAAGAAATTTTTTAAAGAAATTGATACAAATTGAAAATTTTCCCCAAAGTTCCGTACTCTTTGTTCAAGGGATTAAGAAAGGCTAACTTAACGAGGACTCGTAATTGAATCAAATATGAATGAATAAATGTATATTTATGATTTGTTTATTTATTTGTAAATATTTAAATCATAAATTTATTAATTAAAGTAATATTTAATCTTAATGTAAGAGTATAATCGATCGAATTTAAATTAATATAGTATTAAATTTAAGTATAAGAATATAATCGATCAAATTCAAATTAATATAGTATTAAATTCGAGCTCGAATTTAAATTTAATTCGAAATTTAAAATTTAAAACTCGACTAAAATTAGATTTTATTTTATTTTTTTAACTTGAGCTCGACTCGATATAAAAATCGAACTATTCGACCTCGTTCGATTAAATTTAATTTATATGTAAAAATAAATTCGATTTTTATATTCGATAAAAGCTTGATTGTTTATACTCGAGCTCGAATTCGAAATAACTTATTAATTAAAAAAATTAAAACATATTAAAATATAAAATTCAATTAGACTCATAAGTTACTCAAATCGGATATAAAAATATTTGAATTTGATTCAATCGATAAATCAAATTACTCGAACTTCACTCGATAATAATCACACCGAATTCAAATTTTATTTGAATAAAATTAAAGTAACTTATGAATATTAATGTATCATTTACATCTCTATCTTAACATAATTAACTTTAAATGATGACACGTAACAGATAAACAACTTTCAAAATATCACATTAGTTAAAAAGATTAATAATTCAACTAACACATTAAATATTTTTAAAATTTAATTACCACATTTAATATTTCATCATATTTTAAGAATCATTCATGATATTAACTCGAAATCATATACACAACCAGGAAATAATGAAGAACACTTGACATTCTAAAAATCTTGTCCTACAAAACTGGGTGGTCAACAAAGTTTGCACTTTCCTAACCATTGCTCGAGAGACTCGAGTGTTAATACCTAACAAAATCCACTCAGTCCCATATATATATAATTTGGTACTTGATCTAATGAAGGTTAGCACATATACACATACCAAACTGAAAGCCTTTTACTCTCTATGATCTCGATTTTCGTTTGCGTCCTTCGGATCGCTTCCGAGTTGTTTCAGAACCCCCCATACCTTCTTTTCTTGGTTTAACATCACCATTACTTAAATGATAGTCAAATGTTTTAACATTTGTAACAATTGCATGAACTGTGATCTCATTTTTTGGGACTAAAACTGTTCTCCTCTCAACCACTGCATTCTGCCCACAGCTAGAATCTTGAATCGCTGCGTCTCTCATCTTTTCGAACATGGCAATCTTGTCAAGCTTAAAACTTTCGGTTGAAGCCTGCATAATGAAAAGGTACAAATTTGTCAGGCCTCGTCAGGTTAAAAATACGAAGGGCATACTTGAGAATAAACAGCTGCTTCAGTGCTTTTCCATGAAATCCAGGTTTCAAGTTGACAAGGAAACTGGAAATTGATTGCCTAGTATTTTGCTTTTTGAACAAGAAAAAAGGGGTCAAGATTTTGCTCAAAATCAGTGGTGGATTGAACTGCACCAGTGAAGCCTTTGTTAAAAGTTGCAGAGTTGAAACCAACTTAAATGAGCAATAACTAACAACAACAAAAATTCGGAAATAAGCTAGCAGATATAAAATAAGTACATATATTCTATATCTCCTCACCTGAAAATTAAAAGGGATTTTGATTTGGGTGCTAAGACAACCACAACCATCACTAAACTCAAGCTTCAAGAACATCTCAAATGTTTCTGTCCTTACGGTTCTCCTGGTACACATAAACAAAGAAGACATGAGATAAAGCCAAAGAGATATGCTGTATGTTACAAAGTCCGGGACATCTAGCCTCTGCATCAATAACATAAAACTAGGTTATGTTCATTTTAAGGATCCCAAAATTTGATAGAACTAAACAAGTATGAGCTAATTCAATGTGTTCATCTCTTGTTCATAAACAGCAAAAGATCATTACCTCAATCCAATTCGATGAGCAAGAGACTCTTAAGAAAACCTCGAGTTGATAAACAACATAATGGAACATTTAACCGGTAAAAATGTTTTCCTACTGCAATATTTTGACA